TGACTGGCAAGTCTGCTGCCTTGATACCAACTAATTCAGAGTGGAAAAATCGGGTGCCTTTCACACCTGAGCTGCAAAACTACTTCAGCTGTTCCAAGAAAACTGCATGCATTTTTGTCTTCATGACTAAGTTCCTGGTGGAAATACTTACAGGAATTCCCAAGACCTTGAGGCCTGTTGAGTTCAAGTGTTGCTGAGAAACAGGAGAGCAAAGAACTGCCCAGACCAAGTTACTGGATTACTCTTTCGAAAGAGGTTTCCTGCCTAGTCACATTATCTACCCTAAACAAAACAAAACAAACAAACAAAAAAAACCCAACAACAACAACAAAAAAAGAAGCCTCAGATGGAACTTAATTCTACCTCTTATTATTTCATGAAATTTGGATTCCATATAGTTGTTTGTGTTCTTCCTTATACTGCTCCAGTGTGGAGCCAGTCATTTTAGCCTTTCACCAGTGTTCTTGGCATTGTAACAGCCCAGACGCGAAGCTCTGAATTTTCATTTTCTTCCCCTGACTGCTCTAGCAGCAGCATCTGTGCCTGCTTCCTGGCTGGCCTCTTATCAAGGCTTCTCCTCTGACTTCGTGGCTGACTCCAGGGCTGTTTGTGATGACAGCTGTTGCACTGGTGTAGAACCAGCCATCTGGTGACTGACTTGTCCTCTTGGACATGACTTACTTCCAGCTGTCAGGAATTTATCGCTAGACTGAAAATAATTTGGTATGTAAATACATTCTTCATGTTATCCAAGCTATTACTTCCACAGGCAGTGCAGTGATTCCATCATAATTCCCCTGTCCAGGTGCAGTTTCTCTTCCCTCTGCTTGGGGAGGAATGGCTCTGATCACTCTGAAGCCCAACACACTAGTGAGGAGATTGAGGCCTGCAAGTATTCTCTCTCCTATTTGGATTTAATCCCTCTCCAGCAGCTGGAGGGGAATCATTGCATTTCCACCCTTGTGTGCCTCAGCAGTTGGAAAACAGGTCATCCCAGACTGCTGCTCCTCTGAGCCAGAGAGATTTCTGCTGTTCATCTCAGGTGGCTCTCTTTCATTCCTAGCTGGCCTGTTCCAGAGGTATGCTGCTAGCTGAGGCTGCCTGCTCTCACATCCTCATGCCATGGATTTGTAGCCTTCTCATCACAGTCTTTTTGTTTCACAGCCACAACTGAAGGCCTTGTTCATGCCATACAGGCAGGAGAGCAGAGCTCTGCCGCTCAAGAACACGTTGCATTTAATTCTTTTCCCCATCACATAATCTTTTATTGTAATAACAATATACAAATTCTTGAGAGTCTGTGCCTTGAGAGAAGCATGGGAGCTAATGCACCTGAAGATTATTGCCCTTTATCAGCATCCTGCCACCTCTAGCTGTAGAATCAATTTTTACATGCATATCTAACTTGTCATCTATTCATGCTCCATTAAGGCCTGATGTAATGAGTCCAGAAATATATTTGTTTTCTTGCATTTAAATTTTGATATGGTTTATCTACCAGTGGTACAATCAAATTGTTCCACTCTAAAGCGGAAAAAAATAAATTCAAACTTCTAAATAGAAATATAAGCACCCATTTTGCTTCCACTAAGAATAATTTCTCTAAAGGATGTCCTTGTGACATTTCCAGTAACATCTAAGACATTATATATATATATATATATATATATGAGTCATTTTGAGTATGTTTTGTTCTTTATTTTGAAAAAAGGATTTATGGAATACAGAGTTTAATCAGTACATTTGGGAAGTACATGGGGAAGCAATACTTCACAGTCTAAAGTTAGTTTGCAGGACAGGAATTGCTGTATCAATTTAAATTTAGTTCAGTTTTATTCACCTTGGGCAATGGCTTTAGTCACTGCCATCAAATGCCTTCCTGGTGGAGTTGCATAAGGTCATTCTGAGCCATCAACTACCAAAGAATGCTAAAGAAAAAGATGCAAAAACTCAAGACCTTGAGAAATGCCATTCCCCATACTATCTACAGAAAGTAGACATTCAATCCTGTTTACTTGCATTAAAAAAAAAAAAAAGAAAACCAAAACAGTAAACTCTCCCTTTAACAGAAGAAAGAATACCTTTCCCGGAGAAATATAGCAGGATTTTCTGCTCTTCTGCAGGCTGCATTTCGCCTCTTTCTAAGGAAAGGCACTGTTCCTTCAGCCAAGCAGCCTGTCCTCTTTCCAAGCCCTGCTCTGAGTGCAATGAGCCTTCCTGCTGTTGGGCTCCCAGCAGCATAGAGCTGGAGGATTAGAGCCTCCTCAGCTGGGTGCATCTCCTGCAGCATTCAGAAGACTCCCCAAATTACCCCATGGTGTGCAGCCACACAACTGTTCAGCACTCTCCACCTTCTGCTTCCACCCTCCAAAGCTGGTGAGAGTGCTCCTGGGTCAGCCTCAGCTGCCTGTACCAATGAAATCTCACTTCATCACCTGCAGACCCTTAGCTATCTAACATCCTGCCTTTTTCGCATAGCATTAAAGTTGCAAGTCTGCAAGATTACTGCCTCAAAGGCCTCCACAAGATTAGAACATCAGCAGTAAGAATGGGAGGAGAACAGCTGCTTCTCAGAGCACTTGCAGGGATTTTTGCCTTGCAGGAAACCCACAGAGATAAACTGGGGCTTCATTTTATGCACAAACTGTGCAAGCCCACCACCATTTTGAGGCTTCAGCCCTCAGTAAAAGCAGTGCTTGGGCCCAGCTCAGCTCCTTCCAGCCGGCCCTTGGAAACCCAGTTTCCTGCCTTGTAACCCCTCTCTCCCCAGCCTCTGTGTCGTAACACGCTGGTAACAATAACATCTCTGAAATCGAAATGCTTCGTGGGCCAAAAAGCTGAGCTCAATCAACGCAGGGGGAAAGCAAACCACGGAGAGCTATTGTTTCTGAAAACAGTCCAAAAAACTCTTGGCTCTTCAAGACACTCCCAATGTCCTTTGCACTGTTTCCAGGAAAAATGATTCCCAAGGCCATGTGTATTAAAAAAATCTGGCTTATATCAATAAACATGATAACTGCTGTATTTTTTTCTCTTTAATCAGAACACAGCTAGCATGTAGAAGCAATCAGAGCTGAGTCAAATAGACTGTCTTAAGTGCAACATTTCAAAGCTCTAAAATTCGTGGAGAATAAATCAAATGTTGGAGCCCCTAAACCTGGACATCATCTTTGAGGGAGATTTATGTAATGCAAACTGTTGAAGAAAATTTATGGGCAGATGTTGGTGGAATAGGCTGTAGAAGAGGCATAAAGGCAGTTTCTCTGACCCAATAAGCTTATTCAACTTGTCTCTGTTGTGGCAGAAGCCCAGAATGCATCATCATTTGAGTTGCAGTCTCAAAATCAAGATTGCCGGTTCTGATCCAAAATCTTACTTCCTCATACGCAACCAATACAGGTTCAAGCACCCCCTCTCCAAGAAAGGAAAAACAATCTGAAATTAAATTGTAAACAAATTTAAACTCAGAAAGTCACATAGCCTCTAGCCTAGCACAGAGAAAAATTTTGGCAATGTGCTGTGGGTAGGAATCCTGAACTGGTGACAAGACATTGGCAATCACTATGAATTGCTCCCATACATTCTTTCTACTAGCTATGCAACATAATGAACAAGTGTTGTACTTATAATCCAATACAGCTGATTATAGCAAGAAGTTGCAGACTTTTTTTTTAGGAAAAGAGTACATTTTGCCTGACTGTAACCACTGAATGCTGGGAAGCCCTTCCAATCCATAGGGTGTGAGCAGCTCTTACAGAGTAACATTAAGAGGAAAAAAAAAAGATTTAGAAAGCTCAATACTTCTTATTCAGTGGGACTCAGATGGGTGGCTTTGACATGCAGAACTTAAAAATAAATAACAAGGAAACTTAGAGGACCAGGTGTACTTTAAGGTTTTAAAGATGATGACAGTATTTAGGGAAGGTATAAAAGATAAATGGCCATAATTTTATATTTTTTTCATCCTTTCTTTGTTACAAGAAAGATAAGCAGTAGTCTGCTATCCTTGTAAGAACAGTGAGAAGCTTATGGCTTATTTCGAGATTTCACATCATGCACTGTCTCTACCACAGTTCCACAGAACTTCCACTGTCTTCTTCTTGGTAAGGCGTTGAGTATTTAAATCATTTTTCAAGTACATTCCAAGAAAGCTGAGAAATTATGTTACAAACTGTGCACATCAGTGTTATGTTCTACCTCACAGCTCTATCACTTCTGTTGATTAGATTTTCCAAATAGCAATATCCCTACTACAATACTTAATATTTTCCAAGTGATTGCAAAACTTCTTACATGTCATAGAAAATTAAAGCACATGGATTACTAAGCTCCAAGCAGCTTTGTTCCCTATTTTAGTTAAATATACTGCCAGCCCTGTGATTCCACAAGTGTTCTTAAACAATATATCCAAATTATCAGTCAGGTTCACAACAGAGGTTGTGCTTCTGGTTCTTCGTTGTTTTTTTGGTTTTGTTTTTACTAATAGCTCTGCAGTTGCTCTACTTAAAAAACAAACAAACAAACATCAGCCTCGTAAATATGGGATTGAGACCTCACTAACCTATGTGATATCTGTGCATAGGTAAAACAGTTTTCCTGTAGCAGCAGCTAATTGCAGTGTTGTTAACCCTTCTGGCATTTTGGGCAGTGGGATTCCCATGCTTGAAGTGCTAATACTTTTGGGATGTCTCAGTTACTGGAGCCAAGGGACTAAATTGCTGTGTAACCACATAAACATACTCCCCATTCAGGCTTTCATTAGTTTACCTACAGCAAGGTAAACAGAACCTTTATGAAGAACAACATTCAAGATTGTGAGGCAACTTCATGCCACTATGAAGCAAAGAGTCGAAAGCATTTTCCCTGCTCAGGACAGCAGGACTTCTGTAACCGTGAGGAGAAAGCTGGGTTAAGCTTAAAAGTATGTTCAGCACACGTTGTAAAGATTAACAGCAGTGACAAAGCCTTGAATCAACTCTTGTTCCCACCCTTCTCTGCAGAGACCCCTGGAAAAGCCGGACGGCCTGGACGTTTCAGACCAGAGCAAAGAACATCCCCAGCACCTGTGTGAGAAGTGCAAAGTTTTGGGCTACTACTGCCGCCGTGTGCAATAAACCTTCCAAGTGGCCTCTTCCCATCCCCCTCATCCTTAAAGATCCTCTGACAGCACACGATCAAGAGCAACACAACACATCAAGATAAAAGCTAAAATAATTGCCAATATTGCCTATCTATAACCTAACAGTATGCCTTACCATTAACGGAATGTAACATTTCTCCTGTGTATGCACACACATGCAACAGGTATTTACAGGACTATGGTGAATTTGTATACATACATATATATGTAAGCTTACATATATATACGTACACACGTATAAGCATTACTGATAGTGTTCACAACAGAACCACAGTCGCAGGTTCTGCTGATTGTTTACACAGACCCTATATCATGGTCAGGTGAAATGAAATGAAGTACTATTCTTTAGGCAAGATATAACATTCACAAGGACTATATGTGATAAATGGGTTTTGCAGAGGTTAAATAACTGCGGGGCCACTGATTAAAAGCACTCACCCACGACAGGAATATTTTTCCTATTATATGACAAGACAAAGGGAGATTAAACAAGCCACAGCATAAAAGAAGGAAAATAATTGTTTTCCCAGTTTTAGAAAGTCTGAGAGTTTTGTGTTGCTGCTTTCTTGGACTTTTCTATTTGTTAGTGTCACTCAGGCAGGGCTAAGGCAAAATCATTTTTTGCAATTTTGTGGCAAAAAAAAGTGAATAATTGTTTGAGGGTGTGGTTGTACAGAAAGGGAATGCCATAATGGGACCCATAGCATCGGGAAGGATTTCAAGAGGTTTTTGGAGGAGATAAAATTGGCTTGGTTGTGTGACTAACAGATCCTTCTCTTGTCATATAATTCTGCTACAACAGGTTTTGCATGTGTATGCGCTATTCATTAGGCTGCAAGCACACTAAATTTACTGTGAATAAAGGGGGATAAGAATGCTTAAAATTGTCCTCCAAATCCATAATTGAATGATTAGCCAAACTTACTATTTATAATAGTTTTAAAGCCACTTTCTGGAAATATTTTTTATGTCCTGTTTTCTACTGTACAAATTTGTTATAATGTAAAATTTTTTAGCCATAAGGTGTTATGAGGTATGAAGAACACTCTATATAATATTCCCACTTTCCTGTCTTCCTGAAACACCTATTTACCTTAGGAGAAATGTAGGAGTTATATTTGGTTGTCCCATTTCAGGTGGAACTTTGGGCAGGGTGATCCTGTTGCAAAGTAGTATCTCATCAGGGATGAGCTGAAAGTACCTCGAGACAGTATCCTGTTTATATGTCTGTATAAGAATACATGGGCATAAGGACAAAACAAGCAATTCACTTGCATTATTCACTGAGAAAACTTACAGGGATAATGGTTTGTGTGGTTTTAGGTTTGGTTGTTTTTTTTTTTTTAAAAAAAAAAAAAAGAACAATTTCTATTTTTGTGAGGTTTCCTTTAGAGATTGATTTGTGTGAATACTTAGTGGAAATATTTAAAATCCTAAATAACTTGATGTGAATTAAATCTGTTTTGAGGATTAATTCCATAGTACTAATACAGAGAGGGTTTTGTGCCAAGTAATACCAAAATGTAACCAATACGTACAGTCAAGCTCTTGTAAAGCGAACTGAAAACTCAGTGAGCATTCCTGTAGGAAATGTGAAGGTCTTTACGAATTTGTTCTAAGGTGAAACTTTGACCATTTCTCTGCTTTGTTCTAAACAGGGCAGAATAGTGTCTGCTTATTCTGGTGGTAGGGTAATATACATATCTCACAAACTGCATTATTTATGTGTAGCCCAAGTGACACAGCCCACTGGTCAGTCTGATGAAAAAACCTTGGGATTTGTTGATTCTGACCATGACTCTTACATTAGCTCCCTGGCTGTGGGCAAGTCATGAGATCCTTCTTGGACTTCAGTTCTCCCAGCTGCAAAAGGGGGGTCATACTTCAGTGTACCTACCTCACAGCAGTGTTGTGAGGCATACTCAGTGTCCATTAGCGTTTTGACATCACTGGATGAAAAATGCTATGTAATTCTAAAATCTTAAAGAAAATTAATCACTTTGAAACTAGTTTTGCCAAGATGGTAATTCTATAAACTAAAATAGCTGAAAAATAATATTATTGAACGTTAACACTAATAAGAGATCTCAGTTACATCAGTCAAGATATACAGTTTCAGCTTTTTCAAATAGAAATGCATTCTTTTGCACAGATTCAGAAAAAAATACCTTAGAGAAAAACAAAGATACTAATTTGCCTATAAGAGAATAAAATACACAGGTGATTTTGAGGGTGGATTTTAAAGCTTGTTAATCTTGATAATTAGTTTCCAACATGCATGCTTATACTGAAAGAATAACACATTAAATCAGATCTGTTGGTTTTGTTTTTTTTTTTCCTTTTGAGCACTTAACAGAACATGAACAGAAATATCCTTGGTGTTTCATATCCAACTAAAGGACAAGTAGATGAACACCATCAGGTGAAAATCAGAGAATTATTTTTCTCCCTGAAACTCTAACATTGCTACCAAGCATTTTGTTTTTAAATAATTCCTGTTTTTTGATAACCACTAAATCAGTAGAGTAGCACATCCCATGGTATAGCTACATCAGTATAGAGCATACCAGCAGATACTGAACAAAAGCCAACTGCCAATGCCATTATATGCAATCATTGCTATTCTCATGACAGTATTCTCTTAACAACTGTTTATCCAGATGCAATGTTTCATGGTGGTGCTTTTAGGTTTTATTTTAAAATAAACTTCCTAAAAATATACGTGAACAACTTCAACATACTTAACAACTCTCCATGTAGAGTAACAGTTCCTAAAAGTAGAGTTGAAAGAGTTCAATATTTATATATCACATTTTTCCAGGTAGCAGACAAAGTATGTAAGAAATATTAAGCATATCTAAAATATCTAGGAAGAAAATCGATTTTCCCCTGCACTTATGCTGGGGAAGAACAGATTAAAAAATGTGGGGAGAAGCTAAAAGCCAGACACTGCCCTACTTTGTCCTGCCTAACTTTGACTGCAGCCCCCTGGGGCTGGAAGCAGCGTGCTGATCTCACTGTCTCTGCTGGAGCTGAGAGGCATGGGGTGGGACAGGAGAGCACTGGGAACCCAGACAGGACACCCTTGTCTTTGTGTTTGTGGGGCTCACCTCAAACTTCCCCTAGAATGCAGGGCAACCTTGTTCTTCTTGTCCTGCTCAGGGCCTCTCTCTAACAAGCTGGTGGCTGAGGAAGCATGAATGAGGTTCCTCCATTCCTTCTGCCAAGGTTTGCTCATAGGACTGTAGCATCCAGCGCTAGGCATTTGCTCCATGCTTTTCTGTGTGCTTGGTGTCTTGCTGGAAGAACACATGGCTCTAAGAACCATACAATATCTTGTGGTCATTGGCACAGAAAGAAAACTTCTGAATACTGATTTCCCATCAAAAAAATAGAAAACAAATTGACTATAAGATCATTTTATCTTTCACCCATAGGCTAAACTCCTTCCAAACAGAAAAAATACAACCCTAAAAGTCGTACTTTGACTGGGAAGAGGATGAGTTTATTTACCACTTGTATTTTTAGGAATACTTTTTGATGTTCTCTTTAAATAGCTCTACATTTAGTCCATTAGCTAGTATTTCTCAAAGGGATTTTTAAGCAGCTATCAGAAACAAAGCTGTTCCAGTAAAGAAATTTAAATCAGTGCAGGTCTCCCTAAATAGAGTATTCTCAGGGATGTACCTGAAATAAATTTATCTCTCTACCTTTATCTGTCAAGCCTGGTTTTAAACCTCATCAGATGCTTGCTATTATCTGCCTACCTACAGATCCATAGGTCCATCCAGCATGCAGCAGTATTTTGGGGATGATTTTCTTACATTTTCCTCCTCCTTCAGACTTTTTTTTGGTTCATTTGTTTCTTGAAACAAATTGTTTCTTTAGTTGGTCTGAACATTTCACATGAAATTTGTCTTTGGCATTGGCCCTGCACTGGAGAAAATCATTGGGAATCCAAAATAAGTAGTATAGGCTTTTAGCTGTTTTAACTTGACGCAGCTCCTTTGAAGTTGTTACAAATACTTCCTTTCATGACAATGAAAGAAATCCCTGTAGCTTAAAGGATGGCCCCCTTTTAGCCAGTTTCTATTGCTGCTACTGCTGGCATAAAATGATGCCACACAAGAAAAAAAATGAGGCCTTTCTGTCTTAAAGTTGCCTCTTAATTTCAAATAAATACACAAGAGTATATATTATTTCTGAAAATAAGTGTATTTTAAATTCCCCATTATATGGGACACAATTTGTAAACTAAAAATGTGAATTTACGGATGTCTGAAAGAAGCCTTTTATCAAGAAGCGCTCTCTATATTTTACCTTTTGTATAACATGAAATTTAGATTAAACATGGGTTGCATACCTGACAAGATCCAACCATTATTTCCCAAATAAAACTACTTTTAAAATATTGAGAAGCTTTTGGAAATGTCAGTATTCATAGATTAGTTCTCTACGTCCTGCAGTCAAATGGAATACCATTTTTTTCTCTAGTGTGGATGCTAAGAGTTATCCACTGAATAGATTGCAATGATTTCAAAAACACATGTTTATGATTTAAGTGAACTGACATACATTTTCCATTTGCCTTTGCCAACATTTTAAAATGCGATGGAACTATCCCCATATAAAATCATCCTCTAAGATATCACTCTACTCCTGATCAGGCTTCATCACATCTCCTTCCTATCCGCAAAACCACTGCTGTCCATTAATGTTGCTATTTTGCTGAAGTGCTCAGAGGGCTGATCAAGATCTTAGACATAGGGATGATGGTTTGTGTTTCTAGGATGAATTTCAAAGGGACAATCGTGTGCAGTTACTAGCTATAGATGATTGATATAAATGTTTACCCTGTATGAAGTATTTTACAGTTTTACTTGCAGATGTGTATTTATCTTGAGTTATACTTGACATAGAGTTTCTTTCAATTTTTTTTTTAATACTATGTGTGTATTTTGGAAACCTTTCTAGATGTTAAAATTTTTGAATGGTTACAAATATTTCTTGTAATACTGAATCGTTATCTTATCTGGAAACTCTTTGCAGTAACTTTTTTGTATATATTTGAGGGCCTTTTTAGAAAAAGTATTGTTTGTTCTTTGGGAAAAAGTTTTTACAACTTGGAAGCTTTCAGAAGGGCCTTCCTCTCAACTAGGATACTAACAGAGGTAAAAGTTTTCTTAAGTATTTTGCAGAACTAGGGATGTATCCTCAAGAAAATATTTATGGAAGTAATTTACTTTTTTTTTTTTTTTTTTTTTTTTACAATGCTTTTGTCTGTATAAAGTATGCAACAGAACTACATTAAGAAGGAAATATTGTCTACATAAAATATTATATGAAAGTTGGTACATAATTCTGACAAAAAAAACTTGCAATTCTTTAAGCCATATTGTTTTTGTTATCCTTGGATGAAAATATCAGTATTAAGTAACCAATATATTATTCAAGTGCTTTGACTTATATGAAAATGCTTATACATTTTATTTATGTGTATTTGGGGAAGGATTGCTAGAAAAAGCTATCACTAGATGTATAGCAAGTGAGAGCAAATAACAATATAGTGTCACTTTATGACCTTGTGAGAGACAGAAGATGCTGAAAGCACCACAGAGACTCAGCTTTCAGAGACTCTGAAGCACAAGCGTCAAGTTTCAAATGGTAGTTCTTGTCCTTTTTCATGGTGAGAGGGGAAAAGAGTTGGTTGGGACGCTGTCTGACAACTCAACTTTCACAACTCTTTGCAGACTGTGAGCTCAGCTATGCAGTACTGGCTACAGCAATAATATTAATCAAAGGATGTAAGAGAAATGCATTGAAGTAGATGATTGTAAGGATTTATGTTTATTTTAATTAGAACTCATAGCAATATAGAATATGCATGTGCACGTATTTGAAGCATTTTTACACTTTACATTTCATGTAGTTTGATTATATTATGAAGGATTGGGTTTTTAGTTTGATATTTTACCATGCTAAAATGGGAGGTCTGCCCAACCCTGTACTGGATTCTTGTTTCCTTTAAAAGATTGTTTAGTACAGCACTCACTGCATTGTGTACTAGTGCTAAAACTAACACTGTATCTTATGAATTTCTTCAGCTTTAAAAAAATTAACCTAATTACTATTACATTTGTTTAGCTGTGCCCACTGACTTTGTCAGATTCAGTTGGCTATTTGTACAATTTCATTTTCTGTAACTGTTAAGAAACTTGTACAGCTAAAACAAAAACAGAACCTATGGACAACAGCCTCGGAGGTACCAGTTCTGCTTCAGCAATCAAGATGACAGCTAGCTTACTGAGCGACTACGTTGCTAAAGAGACTGTAAAACCTCTGTTGTGGATTGTCCATAAAATGGCATTCCGACATGTGCCTTATTTGCTGGATAGTATACAGCTTTCCTCTAGTATTCTAGCATTTTAATGCTGTATTAAAATAATGCAAAAAAAAAAAAAAACAAAAAAAAAAACCAGTGAGTGGTGTGGTTTTCTTGCAATACATTAAAATGAGGTTGTCATTATACTAACTTTGTAGTTTAGGTATATGGCCTCTAACACGAGGGATCCTCTTCATTTAGAAAGAAAGGATTTTTAGTAGTCTGATGAGCACACTGTTCTATGCTCATATAAATATGGTGCGTCTCAGACATCTGGAGCACTGTAACATAGTGACATGACATACACTGCATAGCAAACCTGATTGCTAGGAAGATTTGAGGGCTCCCCTCATTCATTTTGCATCAGAGTCAAAACACATACATGTGCATGCATGTGTGTGCAAAGGAGAGACTGGACAAGGAATCATGCAGATTTGAAGCCCTGAAAAAAGCAATTTCCATCTGATGATGAAAGGCGTGCTCCTAGCTAAACCCCATAGAAGACAGTGAATTAGTAGTAAATTATTGTTGTAAGCACAAAACACACTACACACTGCTCTTCAGTATACAAATTGTGAAGATCTCTCTTCCCATACGCAACTATAGCCACAAAGCCAAGCTAACTGTAATATTTCCTTCCACCGGAACCAGGGGATCTCCTAATGCCAGCATGCCAAGTTCAGTGCTCCACTGATACCAGAAAAAACACTCAGCAGACAAAATGCCAATTCCCTGTTACCACATCTTCCATGTTATCCATCAGAAATAACTTTTTCATATTGAAAACAAAAATAGATTAACGCAAACAATATAGTAGCAACATAAATTATCAAACTACTTTTCCTTTACTCTTAATTCCCAAGTGATTTGCCTTCCTGTTATATGTGAACAAAGTCAAAAGACAATGCTCGTAACAGAGGAACTAAGAAGTTCCCGCTTTAGGAAAAATAATAGGGAATTCATCACAGGGATTTCACATAACATCCATACTTTGAAGTAAAAATGTTTCACTGTTCGTTACTGAAAAACAAACAGTGCACAAAGATTACAATTATTAAGTCAGCCAAAACACACCACATCCCCAGCCGCATATTCCAGTGCATCAGCAACTACACAAGGTAGGCCCTCGTTTGTCTTCATCTCTCTCAAGAAGATGCACACAGGAGACACTGACAAAAGAGGAGTCTTAAAGACCAAAACACCGGTCACTGAAAGCTGACAGTCAGGACTCAGAAGTGAAGCACCTACCTAGAAGGACATACAGAATCCTCATTCCTGAGAAGCATGTAGCATGTGGTTTGTTTGGGGTCCTGAACAAAGGGAACACTGCACTCAGGCTTGCTTTTCTCTAGCATTCACCTCCTGACCTCAGGGATAGTATTTGCAAACTCTCACCTCAGCAGCACCAGCTGTAAGGCCCACACCTGCTCACAGAGCGATTTGTTCTTACTGGAAGTAATGACATCACTCATCCTCTCCGTCCTCCCCATCCTCACCTCTTC